TGATAATCCCTTCAAGACAGTGTTAAATAATAATGGATAATTTTCTTTTATTCACGATTCTTTTTCTTTTAAGTCACGCACACATGCGCAGGGGGCAAGGCGCACGGGGGGTGTCATGCACACATTCATTATGGATGTAGGTATGTGTGCTTTCAGCATGTGAAGACAAGAAGGTTCACCATCACTGACATAGCTCCTCCATTTAGGATTTTTTTTTGATTTTATTGAGGATTTATATGCCGCCCTTTTCCCTGAGGGGACTCAGGGCGGCTTACAACAATGAGGGGAAGGGAGTGCAAGACAAGACTTAAAAGAAAAGAATCGTGAATAAAAGAAAATTATCCATTATTATTTAACACTGTCTTGAAGGGATTATCAAATCTGCATTTCTAAATGTTGGCCCCTTAGTTTCTACTTGGGGCAAAGAGCTGAGGCTCTGAGTTTTTGTCTTTCGAAAGATGTTTCTCCTTTAGGGAAAAGAGAATATTCTGCCTTTTCAATAGTACCTAAAATATTCCATTCTTCTAAGAGGGGTGTGTGTGTTTACTTTCCACAATGGAAAACAACAAGGTTGCAAAAGGGAGGACTTACGCTGCCTGCCAATTAAGCGGAAGAGGAGACGCCCGGTTAGTGACACAGGTCGGATTTTCGCGGTCAAAACTGCAGTTCGGACAGCGAGAGGTGGGAGCAGGAAGGCTGCTGGATTCTTCAACAGTCCCCAATGAAGTCAGGCTGATGAGGCTGGGCTCTACCGGTTGGACTGCCTGCCCCCAACAAAGAAAGAGCACATCCTTAATCCTGGACAACCTTATAAAGCTAATCGAAATTGTCCATCGACTTGAAAAAAACATAATGTTCTTTTGTTTACAGAATGTAGGCCTGAGGGTAGATTGTTAGGCCTAAGGGGACGCTGCAATTTGCCAGCGACGCAACGCGCAACACAAACCTGACTGGCGCAGGGCAAGGCAGGGGAGGAGGAAGGTTCTTGCCAATCCGGCAACGCAAGGAGACAGCCCTCAGTGAGCCTGAGAGGATTCAGACCACGGGTTCTCTGGCGCCATTGTCCGAGAACCTCCCGCAGCTGTCGCAGGGTCAAACCGCGATGGAAAGCCCTGCGGGAACAAAAAAAGACATCGAGCCTCCATGAGGACTAGAAACCTGCCTTTTGGGCAAGAGCGTAGGTTGGGAAAAGCTGGAAGCCAGCCACTTACCCAGCCCGCTGCGCTTCCTGGCATCTTGCCTCCCAAGTTAGAAATGCGTTCTGCAACGTCCTCAGGCAGAGAAGAGAGTCCAGAGTATTTTCGATGTACTTTGGGGGCCAATTTCTTCTGCTGGGGTCCCTCCAGGGCCCTGGAACATTTGGAGACAAAGAGCTTTGTCTGTGGGTCACCCCAAGAAAAGGGCAAAGGGTCCCCCCAAAAGGAGCACCAAGCTGTGACTACGACTCTCATTACTTTACGTACCGCAGGAGGTTGGATGCTTGGCCCCCAGCAGCTCAATCACTGCCATCTTGGCGTTTCTCCTGGCTTGCGCCATTAGGCCCCACTGCCGGAAAGAGGCCCTCAAGGATTGGGCCCACAGGTGCTCCATGGCCGCCTGGCTGTGCCGTTTCCGTTGGGCCAAACTCTGCCAGGCTTCGAAGCACCTTGAAAAACCAAACACAGCAGAAAGATCAGTCTGTCAGGTTTGCGAACGATGCCCTAATTGATTCATGATCAGAAAAGAGACGGAAGGGACCTTGGAGGTCTTCTAATCCAGCCTCCTGCTCCAGCAGGAAAACGTATCCCCGTGCTGGTGAACCGATGGCACACATGCCAACCAACCATGCTTAAAATGACCAGCAGCAGAAGTGAGAACGCGAGAACTGATAATAACCAGGTTTAGTCAAAGAGGAGAAACGCCATCAAATACAGGTAGTCCTCAACTTACCCAACATTTCTGTTGCTAAGGGAGGCATTTGTTAAGCGAATTTCGCTCCATTTCACAACCTCTCTTGTCACAGTTAAATGAATCACTTCAGCTATCAAGTGAGTCCCACGGTTGTTAAGTGAATCCCTCTTCCCCATTGACGTTACTTTTTAGAAGGGGATCACATGACACCACCACCACCCCGGGACACCGCAACCGTCATAAATACGAGTCAGCTGCCAAGCATCTGAATTTTCGTCCCGTGACCACGGGAATGGTGCAATGGTCGTAGGTGTGAAACACAGCCATAAGCAGTGGTGGGATTCAGCCGGTTAGTATCGATTCGCTAGAACGGCCCATAAGTCACTTTTTTCAATTCTGTTGTGATTTCAAACGGTCACTAAATGAACTGTTGTAATTCGGGGATTGCCTGTATTGTGAGGATAGCTACTCACCGCCTGATCAGCCTGGTCTGGATTCGAAGCGCCAGCAGATGAATCTGCTGCCTTTTCTCCCAGTGGGAACGCCATCTTTTGAAAGCATCACCCAATTTCTTAATTTCCAGCGGGACAAAATATCCTCGGAGGGGACCCCCATCTTTCTGGAGGTACCGTGGCCAGACACGGGTGTTGGTGGGCTGGAAACCTTTTCTGGGACTCCTCCAGATGGTTTCCTCAAAGAGACCGACCTTCTGAAGGGCTGTCGACAGGCTGGCCTCATCAACACTGGAGGTGGTGATGGGGTCTCCACCAGCTTCTCCATGCTTATCTCCAACTTCAGGAGCGGCAAAATCTCCAGCATTCTTCTCCAAGGAGTGACCTAACAGGACCTCTGGAACTCCAGAAGGATCAAGAGTTGGTGGCATCTCTTCGTGAGTATCATCCATGGACAACCTTCTGCTCAGAGAAGGCTCTTCAGATGACGTCTTGAGGGAGCTCTCCAAACTCTTGGGGGAGAAGACGTCCGGCAGAAGGTTCTTGAGATACAACTCAGAGCCACAGAAGGTTCCAGAACAACGTTCTTCTCGGTCAATTGTCCTCAGGTAGCCCTGGTCCTTCAACTCATCCTTTTTGTTTGTAGTTGGTGGTGTTCCTGAACTGCTCCTCAGACAACTGTAGTTATCTTCCTGGCATGTCAACAAGGTGGAACTAAGCATGGCTCGCCATTTACTTCTCACTTGTCTAGGGGAACTGCCTTCCACCGAAGACTGGACTTTTCGCACAGCCAAGGTTGAGATCTGTGGCTCACATGCTGGTTGAGGAACCCAAGCAGGTGACCCGGATTCAGAAGAGAAGGAAGACCTTTCCTTCTTAAGTCCATGGAGGGGCCAGCACCAATCAGCACAGCTTTGAGAAGACCTTATGGGAGCTTGAGGTCCCTCAGGAGAAGAATGACCATCAACCAGACTGTCCAAAGTAAGGGCCGGTCCTGGAGGTGTGGAGTCACTGATTCCCTTGAAGGTCATCGGAAGAGGACAATGGTGGGGTGAGGAATGAAGAGATGGACCCAGTGAAAACTGGCTGGGCGAGGAGGACTTTCTCCAGGCCTCGAAATCCTCATAGCTTCTCCTTGACCCGGTGAAACGCTCCTGTGGTTCTTTCGGCAAACATTGTTCTCTATTTTTTATTCTGGATGAATTCCTGGGAACGTTGCGGGGTCTCTCTGGGAAGCCCCTCAGAGGGGTCCTTTTTAACGTCCCACCTGCCCATCTTCTTCTCTGTAGGTTGGACTTAAGGTTGGTTTGCTGCTGGACCAAAGTAGTTTTGGCAAGAGTCCCAAGAGGGCAAAAGAGATTGGTTTGAAACAGGCCACCAGTCTGTCTCCTTCCCGACGGGACTCGTAAACCTCTTTCAACGTTTTCTCCAAGATGATTTGAGCCACGGATGCTGGAACCTGTCTGGGTCCAGAGCTCTCCAAGATGGCTTCCTGAGGAGAGTAGATGATGAACGTTGATGTTCTTCTGGATCTTTCTTTGCTCTGGAGAGATGAAAAACAGAAGGGCTGAGTCAAGGAGAAGGACCCAGAGGTGGGATTTAGCCGGTTTGGATTGGTTCGGGCGAACCGGTAGCTTTGACGATCAGCTGGGGAGCGAACCGGTTCGACGATCAGGTTTGCCCACCCACCTGCGCTTTTCTTACCTATATCCTCTCAGCTGATTCGCGCAGCAGCTGTGTTACTCCCCCGAAGTTAATGTGGAAGATGCCAGATTTTTCGAAGTATATGATGCACCAAGATTTTGAAGAGGTACATTAAAAAAAAAGTTCTTGCAGGCCCCCAAACCCTTTGTATGCCTCATTTTTTGGTGAAAAACGGGGCATGTAGAGAGTTTCAGAAGCCTGCAAAGGGGCTGCCCCCCCCCAAACCGAGCAAAAAAGACCCATTTTTTGCAGAAAACAGGGCATGCATAGGCTTTGAGAGGCTTATAGAGCGTCCTTGGGGACTGTGGCAGCAAAAATGAGCAAAAAATGGCCCATTTTTTGCTCGTTTGTGCCCTCCCCAGCCCCAAAGAACACTTTATAAGCCTCCCAAAGCCTATGCATGCCCTGTTTTTTGCAGGGGGCGAGGTTTCGGGAGGCCAAAAATGCTGTATTTTGTGTATAAGATGCACCTAGATTTTCTCCCTCTTTTGTGGGGAAAAAGTTGCGTCTTATACTCCGAAAAATACAGTAAGTTTTGTTAAAACTGCTAAAGTGCACGAAGCACACAATCACCAAACCGGTTGTTAAACTGGCAGGATCTCACCATTGGAAGGGCGCCATTGTCTCTTCTTCCCCCAAGAGTTAAGACTCTCTATGAATAGGATGTGACCCCCTCAACAGTCAAGTCTACAGGTAGTTCTTTACTTACGACCACAACGGAGCCTGAGATAACTGTTGCCCAGGGAGACAGCTGTTAAGTGGGTTTTGCCTCATTTTACGACCTTTCCTTCCGCAGTTGTTAAGTGAATCACTGTGGTTGTTAAGTTAGTAACATGGTTGTTAAGTGGATCTGGCGGGCCCATGGACTTTGCTTGTCAGGCGGTCGCAAAAAGGGAATCGCGTGACCCTGGGACCCTGCAACCGTCATAAGTACGAGTCAGTTGACATGCATTCCAAAAAGGGAACATGTGACTCTGGGACACCACATTCGTCATAAATGTGAGTCAGTTGCCAAGCATCTCAATTTTGCTCAGGTAACTTTGGGCAGGCTACGACTTCGAATGGTCGCTAAGTGAGCCGTTGTAAGTCAAGGACTACCTGTATCGCAGCACCGAAATAAACTGTTTTTGGAGACAAGGATTTGGCATTTTTATCCACCGCTCGAGTCCTTCCTAAGGGCCCAAGATAGGCAACCCGTTTATCCTGGCTGGCACCGCATTTCTGACGGAGCCTCCATGTTCAAAGGCAGTTTGCCTCAGATTCCCACAGGTTGTGCCTCAGCAAGAAAAGAAAGGCGGATTGGAAAAGACATTTGTCAAGAACAAGATAGAAAATGTTCAAAAGCTTTTGAAGGACAAATATAAATTATATTTCCCAATCATTTTTCCTACCCCCACCCCAAATTCTCCAGGGCTTACCTTTTGTGACCCCACAGCAATTTAAAGTTGGGGGTATGTTCTCTTTCCTGGCAGCCGCCTGGATCCTTTGGGACAATTCCATCTCTGGCTCGAAGTGTTGGCAGACCAACCTCGCAGGATTGTTGTGCTGCGACCAAGCTTTGGGGTGGTGGGAGGCCAGGAAGCGGGGTGGAAGGGGGGGGGCGAGCTGTAGCGAGACTGGGACCTTCCCTCTCTGCAAGCGTGGGGAAAAACTAAGGAAGCAAACAGCATTATAGTAACATTCCAAGTTCTTTCTTACAAAACATGAGGACTAGAAACGTGGGGGTTCTGACCGAGGCCTCCCAAAGATCATGAAGCTGACTCCTCGTCCTGATAAAACCCCTTTTATTTAGGTTAAAGGGAATTCCTCTCCAGCAAAGTCCCGACCGACAGTCTTTCAAGAGATTTCACAACTACCTTTATCAGGCTTGGAGAGCTGCCAGGCCCGATATCTTCCAAACTCCACGCTGTAGCAGCGATTCCTTGGCAAGAACTCGGGGACGGATTTTCCCCCTAATGAATTGAACTTATTTTTCCTGCAAACTCCCTTCCCCTTTCGCTCCTCTTTTTATTTATTTATGGGAGGGGCCATTCACCATCCGTCTGTGGTCTTATTCCCAAGTCGACCCCTGTTCTTTAGCTGTTCCCTTCGTCTGGCAACTCTGCGCATGGGCACACATCGGGAACAGGCTCCAGCTGTTCTTCTGCCCCACTGATCTCCGACTCCGAAGGCAGCTGATAACTGTTGGATGGCCCTGGCCCTCTCTCTGCCTCCGACACAGAGCCCTCATCAGAGCCTTTCCCAGACACCAGGACTGGCCCATGTTCCTCCCCAACCTCCTCACTGTTTGAGTCTGCCACCAGCTCTGCTGGCTGCTGGCGGGCCACAACAGTGGGGGCATTGTCTAGCTGTGAAAATGTTACCTAGGCAGGTGTTCTGTCCCCCCTTCTCCGCTCGTTAACAGACGACAGGCAAACAAACTTAAAAGGAACTCTCTTTATCAGTTC